TGTGTGTGTGTGTGTGTGTGTGTGTGTGTGTGTGTGTGTGTGTGTGTGTGTGTGTGTGTGTGTGTGTGTTACCGCTCTGCAGCAGTCCATGGTGGTTCCCTCCACTCCACTTCACACCACCCGTGTCCTGAATGAAGAGAGGGAGCTGTGGGACGACGTGAAGGTCAGGTGAAGCACAACACTGCCCCCMTCTGGTCACCAGCTCTCATTACAACCTGTTACTGACCTGCTCCTCTGACCTTGGGCTGTCCCTTGTATTAAAGGGGACACGCCTGCTTATTTTTAATCCAGTATGAGTCAAAATGTTTGTACAGAACAGCAAAGTTTACCTCTTTTACCCCCAATTTACTAATCTTTTTTTTGCTTTTTTTACCATTTTGATCCCAAATTGAAACATTACGTTACATGAAACCCTCAAATACCTGAAAACAAATGTTTCATTTCAATCTAGTGTCCTTTTAATCCTGATTTAAACTGCCWTCACTGTGTAAACAAACCTAATTCAGGTTTATATTTTACAGTAAGTCACTGAGGMTTGCTCACATGCCACTAGATGGTAGAAGTAGTTACAGTCTGTAATATGAGCCTTTTAAACATTCATCACTTAAACCCAGAGAGGCTTTTTCCTCCCTTTTTTTTTTTTTACAAAGAAATAAAACTGTTTACTTTCAACGAGTCACCGTGGGGTTAACTCCACGTAGATTGAACTACATGTCTCCAGTGTGTGGTGATATATTGTTGCAGGGGCTGTAGATGATGATTAGGATTGCACATTCCTTCACAACAACCAAGCATGCATGTCTGGAGTGATAAGCAATGAAAAGACTAGTTTTTAAAATGATACGCACACAATGTGCTGCCAACTGTGTTGCAACAACAAAGTGTTTTGCAATTTGATTTTTTTTTTCTAATTGACAAAAAAAAAAGCTCCAATCGTTGTGAGTTGAAGTATTTATTATTTTTGGCTTCCTACTGCCAAATGAGAAGTGTGTCTGTGCTTTGGATCCAGTTTCCTCTGACTTCAGCTCCAAGAGACGTGACCTTTCACCCAGCAGGCAGAAATGGTCTCAGACTAATTTGTCCCACTGCTGTGTCCTCCTTTGCTTAGTTTTCACTGTGCAAATTATTCAGTGAATAATGGTGCAAAAGCTGCAGCTCCTAAACAAATGGTTTGTTACATTTGAAAATATTTTTTTAGTGTTCTTTCCATTAGCTTAAAAATGTCACTAAAATAATGAGGGGAAAAAAAGCAATTTTATCAGTTTAAAGTCTTGAAGTAATCTTTGAGAACCTTTTTATCTTGTTGCTAAATTTAAAGAAATGCTCAAGTGATATAGATAATTTACAGCTGTGAGCAAAAAACATAATTCACTGCTGTATTAATGAGTTTTACACACGTGCTGATAAAAAAAGAGTTACGTATCCAGAAGTTTGATTTGGCTGTAATCAGGGTTCATGCAGGGTCTTAAAAAAAGGTCAAAATTTTGAAAATCTAAATTTTAGGCCTAAAAAAGTCTTAAAATGCCCAGATTTTCATCCAAGGTCTTAAATTTTATTTTGTCAAGTCTTAATTTTTAAACTTTCAATCTTCCTGAGAAGCGCTGGCTGCATAAATAAACAGAGTAAAGAGCTATAATCAGAGGTTGGCACGATCTGTCTTCATGAAGTGCTAAGTTTGCTACTGGTCTTAGTCTGTGGTTAAACTGCAAGTCCTGTGATAACTGCAGGAAAAAAATGGCACAGTTTACTTCCATGTTTTTGACCTCTTTGCCACTACAGCCCCCCGCATACGGCAGCTTGTTCACCTGCCCAAATAGCAAAGAAATTCGGGCACTGCTCCTAGACGCATGTCCACCATAGACTTTGCATGAGAACTGGCTGCTTCGTCTGGCGTGTACCCGGCTTCATAGATGCTTTAGATCCGAGGTCTCCCACCCTGTTCCTCGTGACCCACTGTCCTGCATGTTTTAGCTCTTTCCCTGATTCACACAATAAATTATCTACTCAGAATGAATTAGGAGTGGGAATATTTTCCTATCTCATGATTCGATTCAATTCTGATTTTTAAGGCCTCGATTTGATTCAGGATTAATTTTTCAGTCAAAACTGATAACGTGAGCCCATTTGTCATGTTCTCAAAGTGCTTCATCTTCATTTTGTAAACCCTGCACACAGTGAAGCTCATATCAAACTCGGACTCATGTGGTAAAAAAACAAAATGAGCCCAAATGTTTGCCTTCAGGAAAGACGGGGCAGGTTAAATCTCACTCTCTTTCCCCCCCATTTTTGTAGCTTCCTCTTTRTTTTGGTGCTTTCTCATGCATACTTTCCAGAACAAAATGGAGTCATTGGATTTGTCTTATTTCTTTTTAAATCGATTCTGAATTGTTGTAAATGAGAATCATGATTGTGATGTGAATGGATTTATTTTTTGGTGCACCCCTAGAAAACATGTCATCAGGTTTGCTGAAGCCTGGCGACTCGTTCATTTCTAAAGGGCAGTGTGTCAGTAGGAACAGGGTTGAAGGCCTCTGAATTAGACAATAGCAGAACTTGATGGAGTGAGATAAACACTCTGCGTTTGGACCAGGTCAGGTTGTTTTAGTCTGAAATCACTGACATGTGGGCTGAACAGATGTGACAGTGGTCCGGTGTTGGTGTCAGTGGGCTCATTAGGGCACCCACACCTGGTGTGAAGGTTTCAGTCACAAAAGACAGACCACCCAATCTGAGTTGTAAAGTAACTAAGTACAAATACATTGTTACTGTACTTAAGTAAAATTTTGGGGGTGTCTGTACTTTACTTGAGTAATAATTTTTCAGCCTACTTTTGACTTCTACTTCTTACATTTTTAAAAAAAGGCAAGAAGTTGAAAGTTGTTTATTTCATCTTTGCTTGTTTTCATTCCAGCTTATAAAAAATAAATATTGTCCATATAAACTGTGCCTCCTAGAGTGAATTAAATTGTGATTGAATGAAAAGTACAAATATATAAAATTCTGATACTGTATTAGTTTGTACAGAAACAAATCATGTCACACTCCAGCAGGACATAATCATTAAAATAAAAGTACTGTAAGAAGTATTTGTATTTCATGAATTATATTATTGCATTTGGCTGCAGCTCTCTGATAGATTTTCATTTTAGAGAAAATGTTTGTGCAGCCTTGATATATGTATATAAACTGAAACAGCTAGACTAGTGCATCCTAAATTTAACATAAATTAATTATTTTTAATACAACAGTCGTTTCTGCAGTTTTTTTTTAGAGGTCACCTAATAAATGTCATTACAGAAAATCTAACTGCTCATTTTAAATCAATACTTGTACTTTTAATACTTAAGTACAAGAAGTATCAGATACTTTAAGACTTTTACTCAAGTAATATTCCTAAAGGAGACTTTAACTTTTACCAAAGTAATTTTTTTTTGGTAAGATACTTGTACTTTTACTCAAGTCTCACTTTGTGGTACTTTATACCACACTGCACACAATGTGAGGATCACTGTTTTGTGTATTTCTCATTTGCCCTCTGGACACAGGTAGGGGACTCTTCACTACACACTGTGTCGTTCTGGGCTGTGTCTAAATGACTGATGAAATCACCACTGTGTGAACATGTGGTGCTGCTGAATAAGGGTGTAAGAAAATATCGATACATTGAAACATCATCATTTTATTTCCTGTGTTGGTTCTCAAAAGTTTTATTGATTTTTAATTAAGTCTTAATGGATGGATTTTGTAAGAAGAAATGTGAAATTCTAATGCAGTTCTCAGTTTAGTGTTCTTCTGATTGTATAAAAAACTGAATTTATGCATGGTGTGCTCTCTAAACTAGTTTTTTTTTTAGTTTTTTGGGGAAAAAAATGTCAATATATCACCTTGCTTACAGTATCGCAATACATCACGATATATCATATCATGACCCTGTGTTGTGATATGTATCACATGACCTTTCAACACATGATGTTTCAGATTATTGTGACCTCAGTGAGTATAATTTCAGCTCATCTGACTCCTCCTCCTCCRTCTTGTCTTCCACAGGAGGAGATGACCAGCGCTTTAGCGACCATGCGCGTGGACTACGACCAGGTGAAGATCAAGGACCTGGACACGTCCAGCAACCCTCTCCTCAACAAGAGGCGGAAGAAGGCCGCCGCGGGGGGCAAGAGCGGCTCCACGGTCTGCCAAAGCCAGTGAGCTGAGGAAGACGTCGTGTGGGAGACCTCGCCGAGCTCCACCCGCGACGAAGACGAGCGTCTGTGGATAAGAAGGAAGAGTTTATATTTCGTAGGATGAAGTGATTTTAGAGGGCTGCTCTGAACTTCTGAGACACTGCACATGAAAAAGGAACACCAGTAGCAAATCTGCACTTTTTGTTTTTAGCAGTCAGTAGTAGAAACCAGCAGCTCTGCTCACTGTGAGCATTTTCATCCTTTTTATCTGTGAGGTTTTTGTTTTTTTGTTTAGAATTAGCTCCTTTATAAGAGTGTCTGTGTGCAGACGTGAAGTATTGTTTGTGGATCTGAATGCTGGATTTCCTACAACATAAATCTTTGTAATTAAGTGCGCAGACCAGCCATAATAAGAGAAAGAGCCCAACGATGGACGGACTGTGAAACACACTTTGTTGCTTCTGTTGTCTTATTGTTGCCTTTCTGCAGCTCTCCTTTCAGGACTCAATCACAGTTTTCTCATTAAATGTAGCCTTCACACTGACCTGAAGAGGAAGAGATTTTTACTGAAGTGACAATAAAAAAAAAGGCATCACACTCATGTCGATTGAGATTTATTATTTTTTTGCAGAACTCTTTTGTTTTCAATAAATGGAGCAATGTGAGGCAGGCCGGAACGCTTCATGCAAGACATGGTGGGTCAACAGATGTGTCATAAACAGTTGTGACATATTGTTAAGAAAACAGATTGTGTGTGGCTGGGGGGCGGAGCCAAACAGCTTACTGTCACAGCAAAGCAGAAGCAAAACTGCACTTTGGGGTTTTATTTTTTTATTTTATTATTATTATTATTATTTGGTTTTTTTTTTGAGAGATTCATGTGGTTTCACATTAAACTTAAGGTAAATCATGAGTGTTTCTGTGTAGGCTACTTTGAACCTGGAGGCCTTTGTAATCGAGCCCTTCCAGCTTTGTTCGGCTGATATAAATAGCGGTGAGGCACTGTTTTTGGGATGCAGCCATCTGAGGTGCCACCCGACTCTAAAAGAGCAACAATGTTATGTTGAGATGAACAGAACCTTTCCCCCACTTTCAGCACATGATTCTGCAGCGTTTACACAACGTAAAAATCCTTTTTGGCTTCCCAGCTGGAAGAAAAGGATGACGATGTAGTTCCACACTGACCTTTCTGATCAAAAAGAAAAAAATTGTATAGGTCTTCTGGACGGGTTCTTCTCTAATGAAACGTTTCGTCTCTCCTCCAAGAGACTTCTTCAGTCTGAGAGTTTCAGGCAAAATTCAGGCTTTTAAGCCCTGCCTCCRTGTGACTGATACTCACATCACATGGCTATCGTTGACACCTAATTAACACCTATTGTTAACAGGGGGTGGAGTGATACTGGCAATAGCAGCACTGTAGGAGGGGGACAACTGAAAACGGAGGCCTCCACCTCTGTTTAATGATGGACGGTCTTTCTTTACAAAAATGGCTTCTTTTACTCCTCTCTCAAACCAACGTTCCTCTCTATCAAGAATGAGAACATCCTCATCTCTGAAAGAGTGACCGCTGGCCTGTAAATGAGTGAAAACTGCAGAGTTCTGGCCATTAGATGTAGCTCGTCTGTGTTGGGACATTCTTYTGAACAGTGGTTGCTTTGTTTCCCCGATGTATAACTGGTCGCAGTCCTCCTGGCACTTAACAGCATATACAATATTGCTCTGTTTGTGCCGGGGCACCGGATCTTTGGGGTGAACCAGCCTTTGCCGTAATGTGTTTTGGGGTTTGAAAGCTACTGGGACATCATGTTTAGAAAATAAACGTCTCAGTTTCTCCGAAACACCCGCAACATACGGAATAACCACTGGTTTGGGTCTGAGTTTGGGGTCTTCATTTTCACCTGAAGGTTGCATGGAATCCTGTCTGTTTCCTGTCTGCTTTCAGGAAAGCCCAGTCAGGATAACCAYACTGCTCCAGGGCCTGTCGTGTGTGTGATTTCTCTTTCTSCCTGGCTCCTGGGTTTGTAGGGACACTGTCTGCTCTGTGGTACAGAGTCCTGATCACTCCTAACTTGTGTTCCAGTGGGTGGTGGGAGTACTGAGATGCATCAGGAGACCTTTCTGATGTTTCATTGAGGAGAATAAGGTAGAAGCTCTCAGAGTAAGGCCAAACCTTTTGCAATCATGAATGAATTGTTTTATAATGAAGCAACACTGGTCAGATTTCTTCAGTTTTGTCGAGAAAAGCTTCGTCATGATGATTAAGTCATGACTCGTGATCATGTAGCATGACGAGGTTTTTAAACTTTATAAAGTCGTGTTCCACTCCCCCTGAACCACTGGCGTTTATAGTCTTTTAATCTCAAAGTTCCTGTACGTTTCCAAAGTTAAAAATCCAAACTTTTCCAGACTTTAATTTCTGGATGTTTGTTTGTTTTGAAGACAACTTGTCTAAATTGAAACGGATGAATAAGTTTGCAAACTGTACATTAAAAGGTGGATTACAGCTCATGGGAGAATAAAGTAAAATGTGGATTTTGCAATAATTTCCTGATCCTAATTATATGACTACTCAAGTCTTTTTAAAGCAGCATGAGATTAGTATAAAAAAAGTGTTAAATTTTGGGGTAAAACAGAAACAGCAGCTTCAGTGGTGACTCTCAGCTTTAAAATGTCAATAAATATATAAACTTGGCACAAAAAATAAGGATATTTGTGTTTGGTAGGTTATTTCTTTGTTGTAACAATGCTTCTTGGCAATAAATCGTGTACCGTTGGAAAGCCTGTTAATTTCCCTTTAAAATGGTGCCACATTTGTAAGGAACATGTATTTGTGGGATGAGCAGTGTGGGTTGCACGGACAAACAAATAGTCAAATCTTCTCTGTCAGCTTATTTTGCTGTTGCTATTGATGAAAATCAGGTGTATACGATTTATTGCCAAGATGCTTTGTTACACAAAAGAATTAATCYAACACTGATTTCCTTACTTTTTGTGGTAATAAATATAATGTTTTGTGTTTTAACAATTACCATTTACAGTACATAGCACACTTTTTAGTTCACAAAGCATGAAAAAACAAGAAATGTCCATGTTTTAAATTAAATGCATGCAACGTTTTTTTGTTTTTTTTACAAAACGAAACTTTGTTGCCACATTTCGGTTGCTTCACCTGGCAAACAATTTCAAAAAATTACAAACATCTAAAACAGGAAGTTGTCTTGAAGTATTTTTATCTGTTTATGAAATGTTTTCCATAATATATTTGTAATCCAGACCTGAAAAAGACTTAAAGGAACTTCTGTTTAACACTTTGTTAAACAGTTATCCCTGGTAAAATTGCATTTTCCTCTTTTCGTCTCTGAAACTCTCTGTCGAGCGGTGCTGGTTCAGTTTGTTCTCCACGTTAATCCTGCGTGAACATTTAAACGTTTTAATCTCAAAGACAAAGCCCCAGCAGACCAGTCGGACTGGTATGTTACACACAGTTTGGAGGGAGGCTACGTGAGGAGTGTCACGAGTGGAGACACTGATCAGTTTGGCCTTTTGGGAGGAATGTTTTGAGGGTCATCAAAGAGCGCTAACTCTTATGTGTCATTTCTGTCATGCAAACCATGTGCTGTCTGACCTCCATGAGTCTTTTCTCTCTAAGATCCTTTGAATTGAATGTTTTTAACGGTCTCATTATGGTGAAATGCTTGAAGGAGGGATGATACAAGCTGATGAATTCTGAATCAGATGAAGTTTATAAAGGAATTTAGAAAGACTGACAAGAAGATCATTAAAATGGTCAAAACAAGATTGTGAACTAGTCTAGCAAATAAAAGGTAAGGCGGAGGGGCGGAGACGGTAAATGTTCTGAAGGATATTATTACTGTGAGAAATGATGTCGAGGATTCAAGTCCTAACAGAGARGATCACATGATGCAGGAGGTCATGGAGCCGCAAGTCACCATGCGTCTGCTTCTCCTGTGGGAGCATATTTACTTCATGTTATTAAAAAACAAGTCAACCAACAGCCACAGCTATACATTTAACTTGTACCAGACTGTGTGGGTACTTTACCTTCAGTTTTCCATGATTTAATTTCTGTTCTGTTTCTTGGTGTGAACACTTACAGTTYTTTGTGATAAGGACAACAAAAATAAAAAAATAAAATCCGGTTCTTCCAGATGAGCACTTCCTGGAAAGACAAGGACTTTTCCCAGTCRTACGTCTCTCTGGTGCTAAGCTTTATGTTGTAACAATCAAAACTGCAAATATGGTCATAGTAACAAAAACAAAGAAACAAAAAACAAACTTTCTCCCTGTACGGTCTCTTTATTTTTTAAACAAAGACTGAAGCATCCAGATGTGCGTAAACACAAGGCTGAAGAGGACAGGTCAGAGAAAAAAGTAAAAAAGAAAGTAATAAAGAATTTTTATCATTGAAATTTTGTGTTAAAAGTGTGTGAATTGTTTGTCCAACATGTAAAACACAAGAACTGGAGCACAAATCATATCAGAACACCTTATTTTAGCTCTGAGGCACGATGGTGGAGGCTGATGGTCTGGACTTGTTTTGACTGCCACAGATACCGTGCAGTCACTGAGCTGATCATGAAACCCTCTGTGGACCAATAACATGTAAATCTCAGAGTCAGAGACCAACGGTCTGACCCCTGATCTTTCCTGAACTGGGTCAGGTCAATAGGTCAAAGCACACCAGCAAATCTGCAACAGAACAACAGGAACAAACACAATCCAAATGGTGCAATGTTTCAGCCAAAATAAAGATGATCACAGCTTGGTTAGTTGTCTGGATTTCCTCTAAACTAAACTACATACACACTTTAACTTGTTCCTGCTGAATGTAGTTCCAGGCTTGGTTTTTGTTAAATACTGTGGTAATGTGTACATCATGTGTACGTGAATACTTTACATTCTTTTTGCCATGCATTTAAATGTTCAGTTTATTCAAAATGTGAGTGTATTGATTTTTAGTATTTGTATCTTTTATACCTACTTTTCAAATATGTTTTGTATTATTTACAAATGTTTTCCCTACATAAAGATTCTTCAAAAACATTGTTTTCTTTAAAATTGGCTCTACCATACTTTTTCTATTTTTGTCTTCCTGTGATAGATCTCCATCTTTCAGTTCAWAGCTACAGTAGCATTTTGCTTTGTGGCTACCCTTTTGCTACCTTTAGCATTTAGCCAACTTTTTTTTTTATTTTGACTTGCCTGCTAATTAGCTTTGAGCAAACCTTTGGTGCATTTATTAGCATTTAGCTACTTTGAGCTTTTATCTTGCCTTTTGCTACTTTTAGCATTTAGCTTGGTTTTTGCCACTGATTAGCTTTTAATTAGCTTTTTATTTCTTTTAACTAGCTTTTTCTAGCTTTTATCAAACACGTTGGTGTATTCTGGAATTTTGCTATTGTTAACTTTTTGCTACCATTTTGCTACTTTTAGCTTTTATGTAGTTTTAGCTTAAAGACTGTTTCAGTTTTTACACTAATGTCAACACTCAACATAAACTCTGTTTTATAATTTAGTTATATATTTTTAAAATGAACAAAATAATTTATAATCAGATTTAATTGTCAAGATGTAAAACAA